TGTTTTGCTGCAGAGAAATGAAAGAAAATTCTAACTAGTGCTTTTATTAAAATGAATTTTTTTTTCAATTCAACAAACATTTATTAAGCTCCTACTATGTACCAGGCACAAGGGAAAAAATGAAATAATCCCAGCTCTCAAGGAGCTTCTAATCTACTGATGAGACTTGAACCTAACACTATCTTCAAATGAAATGCACTCATTTAAAAAAAATAAAGTTTTACCTCAAAATAACATTCTAGTTTCAGAACAATTTGCCAATACTTGCTTCAGATAGGTTAAGTACTCCATAGAAACCAAAGTATCAATACTCCAAATGAGCTAGCAGGTAGGCAACAAATGAAATGTTTGGACAGGAAATCTTTGTCCTTAAATTCTGAAATCTGTTAATTATGTGTACTGGAGATTTTAGCTTTCAGCTTTTAAGTCAGTCCTGTGAATTTTTTTCCACTTGTGGGGTGACATCTATTCTTCTCCACTCTGGAAAAATTTCTCCAAGTATTCCTTCAAATAATATTAAGCCATCTCCTAAAGCTGTAAATTGTAAAGCAGATGCCAATCTGCATTAGTAGAGGGAAGTGCCTCACTACAAGTGGCTATGCCAAGGTCACAGGTCCAGACCAAAACTATATTTTTTGGTCCAAATATATCTATGGTTTGGTGTTTCTTTTTTCCACTCTTTCCATAACCACCTGGATGCCTGATTTTGTTAAGAACTAGTCCGTGGAATTTTTATTTGGGGTCTGTTCTTTGATTTCATCTTCATTGTCCATTGATATTTTTTTTTTGCTGCATTTATTTTTCTTGTTCCACTGATGTTTTAAATTCTAGATTGCCTTGCACTTTTGTAAGCTTATATACATATATATATATATATATATATATAAAATTTATTTTTTTTATGTGGGTATTTTAAGCATCAACTCTGGGGCTGATTCAGTTTACAAAGCTACCAGTTTTGTTTCCTTATACTAGAAAATTTCTTTACGGTGTCAGAGTTTTTCTTTTCTTTGCTCAGTATCTGTCAGATAAGTTGTTTTCATTTTCCACAGAATATCCAAGTTGGAAGAGACAGTAGATTACATTCATGCTAGCAATTACAGCTAGCTAATGAGGACCAAGGACAGCATGCAGAGAATGAGACTTGGAGCCGAACAACATAGTGGTACTTCTGACTGCATGAAAATATGCATACATGTGGAGCCACACAGATGAAAAAGTGATGGTGTTAGTCAGGACCTCAGGAAAGTCCTTCTCTTTCTAGGCCCTACCGTTTCCTCAGTCAATTGAACTCAATGGTCTATAATGTCCTTTCCAGTTCTGCTGTCCCATTCTGCAGATCTGTGACCAAGATGTACCAAGGAGAATCTCGGAGAACAAGAATGCTTTTTTGGTTTTTAACAACATGTAGCTTAAGGTGACTGAAGTATGTGTGAAGAGGATGAGACTGACATAGAGTAGGACAAAAATTCTCCATCCCAATTGTAGTTGAAAGATAGTTCTGTGTAAGATGGATGTTACTTCTTTGGCTTTGCTCTCCAGAGGATAGAACTAGAAGCAGTGAAAACCACAGAGAAGTTCTGTGTGCATATATGTATGCATATCACATATGTAATATATAGATTTATATAATATACAATATAGAGAACTGTGATGTAATATATATGTATATGCACGTATGTATGCATACACATATATGGGTATTTTATTGCATGTGTCTATGCATGTGTATATGTGTATATATGCTAAGGTTCTACTTATATATGTATATATACACATATATCTGTTTTAATAGTTTAAAACTCCATTAAGACTTTGGGGACACTGGGGATTGGCTAATCAATGTAAGGAAAAACTTCCAAACGATTAGAGATATATAAAAGTAGATTCAGAAGGGGTTAAGTTCCCCAATCTCTAGGCATCTTTAAGAGGAGACTAAATTGTCTCAGTGAAGATGCTGCATGCAGGAGGTTTTCTATGAGTTGGTCCTAAAGAAACAAAGGTGGGGGGAGGAGGAGGAAGAGGGAGAGGCCAAATGACAGTCCTAAAGAACAAGAACCATTTTTCTGCTTTTTCACCTGTTTTCAGACAGTAAGATCCATAGAGGCAGGAACTGTTATAAACAGTTAGTGCTTAATAAATGTTTATTCAATTGAATTACATTCTCTTTTTCATAAAGATTGGACTCAATGACATGGAGATTTGGAGTCAGGGGACTTTACTTCAAATTTCAACTCTGCTATTTACTATAATGCAACCTGCATGACCCTTTGAAAGTGACTTCATCTCTGGATGTTTTGGACTAAGTGGTCTCTAAGGCCCCTTCCAGCTCTAACCCTTTGATCCTATACAATCAGGGTGATCCTGAGCAAGTCATTTCCTCTCTCCAGGCCTCAGTTTCCTCCTCTCTAAAATGAAGATGCTTGGACTAGCTAAAGTTCTATGGCCTTCTTTTTCAGCTCTAAATCCTGTGATTCCTACACCTGAGGTTCCTTTCCATTCAGTCTATGAACCATCAGCTGAGACGAAAACTTTCCCCCCCTTTCAGGGGCAGTTAGGTAGCTTAGTGGATAGAACAGCTGCCCTTGAGTCAGGAGGACCTAGCTTCAAATCCTGCCTCAGACCCTTGATACCGAGTGTCCCTGTTGGAGTCACTTAAACACCCATTGCCTCTAAAAAAAAAACAAAACCTCTTTTGGGTAGGAAAATAGCCCTCCCCCTTTCCTTCAAATTCCTGCCTAGACTCCAGACTACAGGAGACGGTAGGTCTTTACAAGCTGTGGGTTAAGGGTATCTTAAATAGGATGACTGTTCACGCTCCAAATCTAGCTCACCTACCTCTTCATGTTATCATGATATACCATGCAATCAGAGCTGGGTTTCCAGAGACTATATAATCCAACACCCTTATTTTCCAGAGAAGGAAATGGAGTACTCTGATTCAAAACTAGTGGATTTATTTTCCCTTTCCTTTTTAAATGGTTTTATCAAATGGAGGCTTGTGCTATAAATAGATTCATAAGATTTAGAACAGGCAGGACCAATAGCACTCATCCAGTCCGGTGCCCTCATTCTACAGATGAGGAAACTGAGGCTCAAAGTAAAGCGACTGGCCCTTAATCACACCGATCTTATAAGGGCCAAGATTTGAAGCCCTGGTCTGCTGAATTCAAATCCAAGGCTTTTTCCACCACACCCAAAATGGAGGGAAAAGAATCACTTCAGGCAGTAGTTTCCAGGGTCAGTAATTTAAAGCTCGAAGGGACCTCAGAGATCAATCAGTCCAACCAGGCATTTTTCAGAGGAAGAAAATGAGTCCCGGGGAAGTGAAATGTCTTGCTTAAGGTCACACAAGTAGTATAGGTTATATAATTAGAGCTGGAAGGAACCTTCGAGAGGAGATAGTCCAACCCCCTCATCTTATAAATGAGGTAGCTCGGGACACAAGAGAGGTTTAGGGACTGTCCAAGGTCAAATCGTTAGCATAGGTCCATAGATTTAAGAACTGGAAGAGACCTGGGAGACTTTGAAATTTAGAACTGGAAGAGATCTTAGAGGTCATCAGTACCCTCCTCCCACTCCCATTTTACAGATGAGAAACTGGACCCCAGACTTGCCCAAGATTAGGGAAGAAGTAATTGGCAGAGGTATGGCTTAGCACGCAGCTCCCCTGACTTCAAACTGTGTGGTCTTTTCCTGCACTACGCAGCCCGTTCCTCAGGACCCCTCTTGCGCGACAGCGGCCACGTTCAGGTCTCTCTTGGCAGGCGCCTATTTTCATCCCATCCTGGCCCCGTCTTCACTCCGCAGCCCACCTCGGAGTCCCACACTAATGGTCCTACAGGCTCAAAACCCAGGATTTAGGTCCGTAATGCCCAGAAGGAGCTGATTGCGGAGCTGCTGTCCCAGCGTCCGAGGTCATGGTCACTGTCACCACCCCCGCCAACCTGCAGCACTGCGCTTTGGCGGTCCCCCCCTCCCGCTCCTACACCTTCCCCCCATCTGCCTTCCTTCTCCCTCCTCCTTTCTTTTCCTCCCCCTCCCATTCTAATCCTCCCTCCTCTTCTTTAGTGCTCCCCCTTCTACTCCTTCTCCTTTTCCTCCTCCCCTCTCCGTCTAACTCCCCCCTCTTCTTCTGTACCCCCTCTTCCTTCTCCCCACTGCCTCGAACTCCCCTTTCCTCCCCCTCCTCTTCTCCAGCCCTCTTTCTCCTCCTCCTCCTCCCCTCCCCCTCCTCTTCCTTTCCCGAGGGAGCCGGAGGCCCGGCCCTCGGCTCACTGGCAGTGCGGGTGGGGAGGTGATGCCCGAGCACTAGCTGACTCGCTTCGGGCGGGGCCACGTGCCAGCCCAGGCGGGAGGGATGCCGGGGTGGTCCCCTGAGCCGCGGCCCCGGCTCCGTCCCCGGCCGCCGCATTCCGTGAGACCCGACTAGCGTACAGCCCCCACCAGCATACTGGTCTGTCCGGCTGCCGGCCCCGCGGGCTGGCTAGCTGGCGGGCTGGCTGGCAGGCGTCGGCCCGGCGCTGGGCGCGGCTCCGGGTGGGCCGACACTGCAGTTGGGCCGAGGCGCCGTCCCGCGTCCCGCTCGCGCGGGCGCTGATTGGCTGGGCGGCCCTGGGGCCGGGCGGCGGCGGCGGCGTTGATTGGCTGCTGCGCAGACTCTCTGGGTCAGGGCTGCAGAGGCAGCGGCGGCGGTGGCGGTGGCGGCGGCGGCGGCGGCGGCGGCTGTGGTGGGGGGTACTCGGCTCGCGGCCGTCGGCAGATCCCGAGCTCCGAGTCCAGAGCCCCGAGTCCGAGCCTGAGCTGCAGCCGCCGCAGCCGCCGCCGCCGCCCGGCCCGCGATGTTAGCGGCTTGAGCGAGCCCGGAGAGGGGGAGAGCGGGCGCCGCGGTCCAGCTTCTCCCTGCCCTGCCCTGCCCTGCCCTGCCCTGCCTTGCCCTGCCCGCCCTCCCAGTCCTCCTGCCCGCGCCCCCGGCCCCGACCCCCCAGTCCCCGGCCGCCATGTGCTCCAGCCTCTGGTTCCTGACGGACCGGAGGATCCGCGAGGACTACCCGCAGGTGCAGATCCTGCGCGCCCTCCGGCAGCGCTGCTCCGAGCAGGACGTGCGCTTCAGGGCCGTGCTCATGGACCAGATCGCCGTCACTGTCGTCGGCGGCCACCTCGGTGAGCTCGGGCTGCGGGCAGGGTGCGCGCTGCGCTGTGCCCCCAGCACTACCCGCGCCCCGGGGCACGAACCCCCAGGGAAGAGGGGGCCGGCGCCCCCTGCCCTGCCGCAGGCGCTCTGGCTTGCGCTGGCCAGTGTCCCGATAGACAGGCAGGTGCGTGGACGGGGCGGGGGCTCCTGGACCAGCAGGCAGGGTGCGTTTGTGGGCGCTCTTCACTCATTCTGCCTGCCCCCCACTTTAACACCTAGTTCCCAACTGTGCGGGTGTTGGAGTCACCTCTGGGGTGTCCCACTGACGATCTCTCATGTCTTTGGCACATAAAAAAAAAAAAGAAAAACCATTTTTAAAGCTTGAAATCTGCTGAATATTATATATTTGGCTATAAAATAATTTCATATTGAACTTAGGTTGGGTTTTTTTGTTTTGTTTTGTTTTGCATAGTGCATGAATTATTCCTAAGCCCTCTGTGCTGTCAGTGAAAAATGTAGCTTCTTTCCAAGATTTCTAAACATTTTCACTGTTTGGATGCCTCTTCTATGAAGACCTGGAGACCTTGGAGAAGCTGATGACAAAATTCACAGAATTCTCAGGGCAGTATAAAAAGAAAAAGTTCTGTAGAAATGTACATTAGGAATCAAATGACACACTTAATAGGGTATATAGGAACCAACCTAAACTGCCCATGGGGGAGGGGAGGGGAAAACTCATGAAATCTGATCATAAAGTTTGAGGTGAGTCTTAGTGTTAAGGAATAAAGTAAATCCCTGATCTAATGTCAGGTCCTAGACCATTGTTTTGCTCAGATTTGTTCAGATTATATATAGAGTACCTGGAGCTGGAATGTTTGCAGGAGTCACACACCTTGTTAATCCTTCTATAAAGTAGTGATTAAAGGAATCTTTTGCATAGCAAAAACAGGTAAGTTAGGAACAGAAGGAATGTCACTTTGGCTCAGCCTGGTGATCCACTCAACCCAGGGTTTCACTTCTCCCAGAGATACCAAGAGCTCTTTTGTAGGAATTGGTGTGTTGACCTCTATGACACTGACCCCATAAGGTTAAGAATGCCCATACATCTTTATTTTCCCATTAATACCAGTGTTCTCCAGCTTGGGAACGCCTGACTTACAAATGACTCATCCTTCACAATAAACCATTCCCATTTCCTATTAATTTCTGAAGCCCAACCTAATACTGTCTCTGGGTTTGCCCACCAAACCCTCCTGCTATTATTCTTAACCAGTCTTCCTTACCACTCCCTTCCCCAAAGGGATCAGGCTGAGTCAGGCTCAGTTTCGGATAGCTTAGGCCTCAAGACTCAGGTAGACTTAGGGCTTCTCCTGTTACTCAGTCATCTCCTTGGTTCAGGACTTCAAGGATCTGTGGTCCCCTTGTTTTGTACCTCCAACAGTACAGGTGACGTTAGTAGTGAGTCTTTTTTGAGTTAATGTGGCTAGCAGAATTCATTCCCTGGTGGCCAGCTTTCTAATAAGCCTCTCCACACTTTAGCTGGTCCTTGTGTGACAGATGAAGTTGGTAGCCAGGCCTGTACTCAAAGCCTTTTCAGCCTAGTGGATCTAGCCAGAGGTTGTGCTTCCACTTGAATACATCTCTTTTGAGAGCCCAGGTTCGGGTGCATGTTAAGATGAGGCTTAGAGGTTACTGCAAGATGGGTTACATGAGCCTTTATAGGCTAGACTGTTGTTGTTCAGTCGTGCCCGACTCTGTGACCCCATTTGGGGTTTTCTTGGCAAGGATACTGGAGCGGTTTGCCGTTTCCTTCTCCGGCTCATTTTACAGATGAGGGACTAAGGCAAACAGGGTTAAGTGACTCATCCAGGGTCACACAGCTAGTAGGCTAGCTAAGGTCAGATCTGAACTCAGGAAGATCCAGGTCCGGCACTCTATCTACTGCACCATCTGGTTGCCAGCTACTGTAGGAACCTAATATTCATTCATAACATTGCTTCTATTGTAGAAATGTGTTCTAAATGCTAGATGACCCACTTAACAGAGAATATGTTGGAAAACAGATCATTTGTAAGTTGGAGACTGCTTGTAATCTGCCATGAGGCAATCATCCATAAATTGGTCTAAACTGTTGCCAGATATTTTCAGCTTATACCAACTGATGGGGACATGTATAAAATCATGCTGAGGCATGATGGAAAGAATGCTCATCTTGGAGTTAGGACGATTTGAGTTTGAATTCTGCCTCTGATACATATACTTGTGGGACCTCGGACAAATCATTTGACTTCTCTATACCTCAGTTGCTTTATCTGTGAAGTGGGGATGATAATGCCTGTATTACACACCTCACAAGATTGTTGTGAGATTCAAATGAGAATGCGTATGTGAAGTGCTTTGCCAACTTTAAAATACTGTATAATTGTCAATTATTAGTGGGGGTGTTATTTTACTAATGTCTCTTAGGCTTCAGGCTCTCACTTATAGCATTTCCAAAGTTGATTGCCTTCTATTCTGTTAAGGAATTTTTAAACCATTTTGACTATCTTCTCTTTTTCCAGTCTGGAGCCCACACTGCATTGAACATCCAGATTTGATGTTTCCCTCCTGTTCTATTTACAGTTCTAAAAATCTCGTGTTTAGACTCCATAATACTTTCTTTCCAAGCTGGAATCTTAGAAAACTTTTTTTTAGTCTCTCTGAATGTTGGAAGGAAGTCCTTCTACTCCAGTGAGCATTTTATTTTCTATCCTGTTGATTAACTCTGGTCTGTTTTGGGTTACCATATTCCACCCATATTACATCAGTCAGTCAGTAAACATTCGTTAAGCACTGACTATGTGCCAGGCACTTTGCTAAGCACTAGAAAGGGAGAAGATGGTCCCTGTTCTCCAGGATCTCACAATCTAATGGGAGACAACGTGAGAACAACTGCATACAAATAAGCCTAAATACAGGATAAATTGGAGATAAACAAAAGGGAAAGCGCTGGAAGTAAGAGGGCTTGGGAGAGGCTTCCTGAAGAAGGTGGGATTTTATCTGAGACTTGAAGGAAGCAGCCACGTGGAGATGGGGAGAGAGAGCATTCCAGGCATGGCAGACAGCCGATAAAAATGGAACATCCAGGAAGCCAGTGTTGCTGGATAGCAGAATACACAAAAGAGCTGTCAGGTATAAGAAGACTGGGAAGTTTTTGGGGGGGCAGGTTATGAAGTTCAGGGTATGTTTTTTCCCACTCTAGAGAACTAAATCTAGAAAATGAGACCCCAAAATGGCAAGAACATCATTAAAAAAAACCCTCACTAAATAAATCCTCTCCTTGTTTGGAAAAGCAAAGGCTACTGTCTTTTTGACTATAAGAAAATCTCATCATTTGTTTGTATCGTTCATGGTGGCTAAATGGGCCATTGTATCAGGATTCAGAGGTTATTTTCAGTTGGGCTGATTCTGGTGGATAGAATACTATACCTCAAGTACAGTTTATAAAACAGACATTTTCTCGCCACCCATGGGAGGATGGGAGTTTATAGTCAGAGGCTGATTGATTAAAGCAAGATATGAGCCCTTGTTTGAAGTTTGTTCCAAAGGTAAGATAAGTCAAACTGTTCAGCCAAAGTGCTCTTCTGAAAGGATTCCAAACTCTTGTTGTTCAGTTGTTTTTCAGTCATGTCTGACTCTTTGTGACCCCATTTGGGATTTTCTTAGCAAAGAATACTGGGGTGTTTTGCTGTTTCCTTCCCAAGCTCATTTTACTGATGAGGAAACTGAGGCAGACAGGGTTAAGTGCTTTGCCCAGGGTCACACAGCTAGTGTCTGAGGCTGGATTTGAACTTAGGAAGATGAGTCTTCCTGTGTATGGGGCCAGCATTCTATCCACTGCTCCACCTAGCTGCCCTGTTCTAAACTCTACTGGCTCTAAATTTGGATAAGCTGCTTCTCTCTGGGCCTTAGTATCCTCATCTGTGAAATGAGAGGATTAGATTTGTCCATCGTCAGGGTTCTACCACTAACAATACTCCACTCTTCTATGACTCTCAATTTCAAGTTATCATGATATACAAAACAGGCTGTGTAGTATAATGGGTGGAGGGCTGGTCTCAGAGTCAGAAGGCTCTGGGTTCAAGCCCCATCTGTAATCTGAACTGGTTGCCTGACCCTAGGTAAACACCTCTCAGTGCCCCAGGTAATTATTTAATACCTTAAGTTGGATCTACATTGGTTACAGGAAATTCTTTACTGGAGGTTCTTTGCACTGGCAAACTCACAGGTCAGGACTGTCCCCCTCTCCCTGCCATCCCCCACCGAAAAAAAAAAAAAGATAGATGTGAATGAGAAACAATATGGTAGCACAGAAAGAATACCAATCCTGGAATCAGAGGCCCTAGGTTTGATGGGTCTGCCACATACTAACTTTGTGAACTAAAGCAAATTACTTCAACCACTTAGAGCCTTTGTTTCTTCATCAATAAAATAGAAATAATAATGCCTTTACTTCCTTCCTCACAGTGTTGTTGGAAGGAAAGGGCTTTGTAAGCCAAAAAACTATCAATATGATCTCTCAGTATGTATGCTGCTTAACATTTATTATCTCTGTGTATGTGTGACATGACATGCAGCGTAGGTTAAACCTTGCTTGGTTTGGGCGGTTGGGGGTGGGAGGGGAGGTTCGTGTGAAACTAAGACCAATGGGTAAAAATTACAGGGAGGAAGATTTTGCTGAAGCATCAGGAGGAACCTCCTAATCATTAGAACTGTGGAATAGAAAATGAAAAGAATTATAAGGAAGTTAATTCTCCGTCATAGCACAGATCCCTGAGATATGCTGGAGACTTCTTTTCAAGTTGATACTCAGCCTTGCCTGGCATATCCCTCCAGCCTTTTTTAGGCTAAACATCCACAGATCTTGTTTGAGAAATTACATTTAATGTGAGGAATGCTAAATAAAGCTCAAAATTAGCTAAGGCCAGTAAGAAAAATCTACAAAAGAAGTTTAATTTTTTAAAAAACTGTGTTGGGGAAAAGAAGAGTA